TTTGAACCGGCCCCTTTGTAGGAGTGGGGCCCATTGTGGCAGTGATGGTTTTAGCTGGGGGATGCGGAGGGAGTCAGTGGGGTTTCTCGGTGTGTGCTCTCCCCATACATTTCAATGGGGGGATTTGGGGGGGGCTGTGTGAGGTGCCCGGTTATTGTGCGGGGTCATTGTGCGCCGATGGCCAGGGCTTGGCCATCCGTCTCCTGTGGGACAGAGCCTCCTGCCTGCTCCAGGAGGAGGGAGGATGCATCCCTCCACCACCCCTGTGGCTGGAGCCTCCTTGTGCTCTGGGCCCAGCTCTGAAGTCTGTAACCCAGGCAGGGATGGACAGGATCCTGCTAGGAAAAGGGGAGCAGGAAGGATTGCCCTGTCCTCCCCGGCTCGCTGAGGTGGCAGCAGGCTGCAGGGAGCGGGACTGCACACATCAGCTGGTCCTCCCCTCGCTGAGCATCCCGTTTTGGCATTGGTTTGGCTTGGAGGCCCGATGTATGGCCACAGACGATGTTTTATATTCACTGTCAGCCCACCCTTTCTCCTGGGGCAGGTGATGGAGAAGCTGTCGGGCTGTGCTGGATCCCCCCAGGTTTCACACTCAAGACACCCACCCCTTGGTGTACGGCAGCCCTGCGCCCGGTGGTTCAGAGGCCCGTGGTCAGGAGCTGGCCGCAGCCTTCACCCCGGGTCTGCCTGGGGGCTGGGCAGTGGGTTTGGGTTCAGAAGCCCCGTCCCTGGGAGGAACGCTGCAGCTTCTCGGTGGCACCGCTTGGCTGCTGGCCTGGGTGGACAGGGTGGGGGCTTGGTGCTTCCAAACTCGGCTGCCATGGAAGTCCTGGATCTGGTTTGGTCCAGATCTGCCCCCTCATTAAAAAGGCCTCTGCAATTCCCGAGTCCGGGGTGTAATTCGGGTCTTGCCCACATCACTGCAGTGCCTGAACACAGCAGCCGGTCTGCCCTGCTGGTTTGCAGATGGGGAAACTGAGGCACGGACAGGCTGGGGCTGAGCATGGACCCTGCACCCAGCTCCAGGCTGTCCTGGGATGTCTGGGGCACAGACGTGGTGTCCCAGGCCAAATGACTCCTCTGCGCCCAGACATAGGGGGGGACACAACTTCCCAGGGGTGCCCCGAGGGAGGGGTCTTCCCAGGAGGAGCGGTCAGGTTTTACTCAAAGCTGGAGCTTCCCCAAAAGCCTGGGTGTGCTCTGAGAGGCTGCTGGGAGGATGAATTTGGGAACCTTGGGGGTGTGTGTGTGTGTGTGTGCAAGGCTGGGTTACCACAGATGTGAGCCTTGGGGGGTCCCGGGTGATTTGGGGTGCAATGCTGCTGGCCTGGAGCTGCAGCTTTGGTGGTGAGTCAGCACCCACCCTCCGGGCTGCCGAAACCAGGAGGAGACGAGATCCTATCAGCCTGATGGGGGGCTGGTGTGATCAAAGGGCCGGGAGGGAGCTCAGGCTCCACACAATGGGGGGACCCGATAGCCCTTATCTGCTGGCCTGAGAGGTGCGAAGGGAAACCCAACCCACCCACCCAACCCTTCGCTAGGGAAACCTCTCCTGGCAAACACTGAGGAGCAAGAAAATAAACTCTGGTTCTTGCCGGGTCTGGGAAAACCCTTGGGAAGGGCTTGGAGGCTGCTCCAGCTGCAGGAGCAGGATGGCTGCTCCTACTCTTCCCCAGGGAAGGTTTTGGGATGGGGGACCCCCAGCATCCTCCCTCCCTGTCCCCCCCTCCCACCCTGCTCCCAAGAGGAGGACTCCAAGCTGAGGGCCCCACAGCAGGGAGCCTGGCCCCACACCACACACTCGCATGGGTCTCAAACATGATTGTTTAATAAAATCTCCTTTTAAAAGAACTACAATCCATACAACAACGAGGGGCACGGGGAGAAGGGCAGCAGCCCACGGGCAAGGGAGCAGGGTGCAGGGAAAAGATCTGTGCAGCGATGGCCTCTGCCAATGACCCCACTGGGGATGTTCCCACACCAGTGCTGCTCACTGGCACAGGGCCCTGCACTGCTGCCTGCCCTGCCCGTGCCTGCCTGCACGTGCAACGGCTCCCGAGCGTGCAATGGCTCCTGTGTGTGCAACAGCTCCCAGGCATGCAAGAGGCCACCCGTGCGTAAGAGGTCTCACCCCCATGCAAGACACCACCTGCATGCAGCAGGTCACCTGTGGCCATGACCGCCCATGCCAGGGTCCGGACATGAAGCCACATCTGTGAAAAGCAACCCGAAACTTGTCCCAGGCCTCACGCTGGAGGGGTCATGGCCAACGCACCGGGGAGGCTTTGGGGAACGGTGCTGGGCTCTGAGCAAGGACTTGTCGGTGGGGGCTGGTGAGCCCAGACACAGAAACGGGTAGCAGAGGGGTGCTGGGGGTCCCTGGAACCCAGGAGGTGGCCAGGATGGAGTGGCAGAGTTTGTCCCCTGCCACAGAGGGATGCCCAGAGAGAGCGCTGGGCTGGGCTCCGCAGAGGTGCTGCAAAGGGCACGGGCTCCATGGGGCAGAGAAGCAGTGCAGCAAAGCCACTGTGCCTTGGCTTCCCCTCCCCACCCCCCCCCCCCCAGTCTCACTCCTTCCTCCCCCATGGCCACACAGGTTTAGAACTAAAACCCTGAGCCTTTTCTGAGCATTACACCCCTCGGAGGCCTGGGGTGAGGGCCCAGCCGGCACCCAGGGCTGCCGCAAAGAAATCCTCCACCTCCGCCAGCACAGCCCGGCACGGGGTCCCAGGGCACAGCGGCACGGGGACTGTCTGTGCCCCAGGGACCAAGGACCAGCACCCGTAGAAGGGGATGGAGGCAGCGCAGGGGCCAGGGCAGAGCCTCTGCTCCCAGCTGGGCACCACGCAGGGTGGCATCTGAGGGTGCACCCTGGGGAGCGATGCCTGGGCCTGCCCCAGCCTGCTCCTGCTCCTGCTCCTGCCCACAGCTCGTGGAGCAGGATCTTGCTGCCAGGGGCTGCTCAGGCTGGGGAGGAGGGGGCAGAGCAGGCACCAGAGCCTTTTGCAATGCCACTCGCGCCGGGGAAAGCCTCCATCCCTGGCAGAGGGGCTCTGGGCAGGCTGGCAGCCCTGATGCCTTCCCCTGCAGACACGAGCATGCCAGGACCCCCTGGCCCCTCTCCCGCTCTCCAACCTCCTCTCCAGCCCTTTCCCAGCTGCTGTTGCATCAGCCCAGCTGCAGACAGGGCAGCAGCCCCCTCCTCAAAGCCAAATGCAAAGAGACAGCGCTGTGGCCCCCCTCCCTGTTCCTGTGCCAAGGCAGCAGCCACCCCCCCCTGCGGAGCTGGTGTGTCCCCAAGAGCAGTGAGCGAAGGGCAAGGCAGGGACGCGATCACAGCAGCAAAGAGGACAAGGACGCTGGAAACGGGGGAGATCCCCCCCTCCCATAGCTGTTAGTGGTGTTTATTGGGCAGGCGTCGAACAGTCTGGCAGAGCAGGGTCCGCGCTCCTTCACCCAGCTGTGGGTGCCCCTCCGGCGCAGCCGACCCGCCGGGCTTCGGCGTGGGCATACAGTCCGTAGCGAGCTCGGGCAGAGGAGAGGAGGGGTGTTACTGGTGTGACTTGGGGTTTGAGGGGTGTAAGGAGGAGTCATCAAACAGCGGGTTCCTCACTTCCATTTCTCCAGTCTGCAGCGGTGGAGGGAGTGGGATGGGGGGAAGGAAAAGGTGGGAGGTCAGAAAGCAGCTGGGGGTTGAGCTGCCCTGTCCCAAGGGGTCTGAGCCTGAACCCCAGCCCACCGAGGAGGAGGGAGGATGGGGATCCCTCGTGGCTGGGATGGGGTGGCACAGACCAGGACCCCACCGTCACCCCTGGAAAGGTGTTGCCTCCCCACCAGGTGCGGCTGGGGATGCTGGGCCGGGATGATGCTGTGTAAAACCCATGGTCCCTGGTGGGGTGGGACCCCCCAGCCTGGCTGGAGACTCCAAGATGGGACCCCAGAGCCCAGCTGGGGACCCAGGATGGGACCCCCAGCCAGGTTGGCAGGAATGGGGTTCCTTGCCCAGACTGCCTGCCTGCCATCAAGTGCCCTTTAATGGGCCTGTAAAGACCTAATGATGACCCTTAATCTGGGCCCTGATGGCCAGGCTCCGCAGCCATTACCATGTGAAAGGCTCCTTTCGGGTCTCTTTGTGCTCTTTGTACCCAGGACTGTTAGGAGCTGCCCTTCCCCGGGGTCTCCTGCCAGCCAGGAAAGTCCCCCCTGGCCTTGAGGGGTCACAGAGTCCCCAGCCCAGGCACTGGGGAGGCCCCAGGATGAGCCCAGGGTGCCCATGTCCCTGCACGGCAGGGACGTCAGGGTGGCTCTGCCAAGGGTTGCTCTGGCGCTTCCCCAGGGACCAGCCCCGTGCCAGGCACCCACAGCAGGGCACCCACGCTTGCCCACGGGAGAGCTCCAGTGGGACCTGGCCAGGGCACATGGGTTAGACCATCTCAGGGGTTGATGAAGGACGTGTTTGAACAGCTCCTTGCAAGGAACTACACGTCCCAGGCCCGTGCTGGATCCCTGCCTGCACGCCCAGGGTCCCCCCTGCGCCCGCCATACCGGAGCCAGCCCAGGGCACTCATACACGGTGAAGTCTCCATCCTCATTCTCCTCATCAGAGGACGCCGAGTCCGGCAGCTTGGGCTCCTCTTTATGCCTGGGGGGGGAGGGTGCAGAGAGGGGGGTGAAGCCCAGGGGATGGTTAACAGCACCCCAGTTAATGGCAGAGCATGGAGCAGCGGCTGGGTC